CCCAGGAGGTTCTGGGTTCAGTCCCCAGTACCTCCATTAAAAAATAAAAAAGCAAAAAAGCCACAATGAATTGTCCGTGTGAATTGGCTGCTCTGCATATGGAAAGGTCTGAATGATAAATCATGGAAGGGGGAGTGGAGTCCGGGGTTGTATCGCAGTTAGTCTCTACGTGGACTGTGCACACAGGGCCAACACCTGTATTTGAATCAGCCCCACAGCTGCAATAGTAACCAACCCATTGCCAGTGTTTGCAAGGTGCCAAGCTCTGGGCATCACCCCGTTTAATTCTTGCTGCCACCTGATGTTTCTCTTCTTTCACAGATGAGGAAATCAAGGTTGAGTCACTCGCCCAGAGTTAATGACTGGCTGAATCAACATTCTCTCATTCGAGAGCCTTATCTTTAATGGTTGGGAGGTAGAGGGGAATTTGCCAAGAGTGTCCTTCAAGGCCCAGGCTGGCTTTGCTGGTAAGAGGGAAGGAGGTGTTGAAGAGGTAGAGGTTAGAATCTCAATATTTCTCTTCCCTTTGGAGCGGACAGAGGAGTTCTGTGCTGTGCAGATGTAAGAGACAATCAGAGAAATGTGGTTTAGACGTCAACCGTTGATGTAACCATTGGACAGGAAGTTTGACAGGTAAAGAATGTGTGACTGCCAAACTTGCAGGTGCCTGCGGTCTTCCCCTGCCTGCTCTGGACTTCATCTCCAAGCCCCTCCCGTGCTCTTGATGGTGTACTTATTTCTGTTCCTCAAACACACTTTATTCTGCCTCAGGGCCCTTGCACTGCCTGTTCTGTCCCTCTTACTAGCAAGCTCTTCCCTCAGCTTCAAGTAGCTGGTCCCTTCTTATCCTTCCAGTCTCCGCTCCGATGTCACGTCCTTGAGGAGGACTGTCCTGAACACTGCTTTCCTTCACCAAGTGTCTCTGACCTTTTCTCCTGATTTATGACCTGTATCACCACTGACATGATCTTTCTTTACTTCTTTATTGCCTGGCTCTCACCCTGGAATGTCGGCTCCTTAGAGGAACAATCTGATCTATCTTGTTCCTGCCTCTAGTGCTTAAAACAATACCTGGCACATGGTAGGTGCTCAAAAAAATGTTTGTGCATGGATTCGGACTCCTGGGTCTAACCTTCTGGACATGCATAGGTGAGTTAATCCCAACATGGGATTTGAAAGCAGGCTGTCTGGATCCATCACTTACTAGCTCTGGGACACTGGGCTGGTTACTAAACTTTGCTGGGCCTCAGTCTGCTCATCTCTAAAATGGGATGGTAATGGCATCCTTGCGGGTCATTTTGAGGAGGAAATGAGTAAAGTTGCATGAGTTCCTAGCAAATAGTCATGCTTGGGAGGTGTTAGCTCTTAGTATTTCCCTGTGTCACTGGCTCTGCGGCTCTGCTCTCCCCCCGCCCCCTCCCCTGGCTGGAGAGTCATGCCTATTTGCTTAGCTTGTGTTCCAGAAGCACCTCGCTCTGTCGGGGCCAGACCCCCCCCATCCTTCCCCCAGCTTGGCCATGGAACTCAGCTGTCCTCTTGGAATCTGCTTAATTCTGCCCCTTCCCCAAGTCCCCAAGGTAGCACTTCCGCGTCTCTGTCACATTTCCCTTTTACTCCTCGGCCACCACCCACCCTCCTCCTTCTTCTTTTTGTTACTCTGACTATTGCAGATGCAATTTGCTAATGTTGTGGACAGAACGGGCACCATTCACAGAGTAACTGTGAGGTCATCATTGTTGCAGAAAGAAAAAAAAACAAAAATAAAGGAATCCTTGGGTGAAGAGAAGCAAAATTCTCAGCGTCTTGATTTCGATGTCCCTTTTCAGACTTTCTAAACTCTATTAGATGGAGATAAAACATGGATTGGGGCCCCAGACCCCACGCCTTGACCTCATTCATGGCAGCTCAGGTCTAAGAGCATCCACATCACACGTTATGGTGGAGAGGAACTGAGGCCCCGAGAGCAAGGAAGTGTTTTGACTGTTGCAGTCAGCCCTCTCACATGTGGGGACAGGCTATCTAGTTTGCCAGTTCATCACGTTAAATCATTTGGGATAATGATAGACAGTTTATTTGTGAAGAAAATGAAAGTGACCGCACCTCTTTATCGGGGGCATCCCATGTGGGGCTCCCTGGGGTGGCCCATGTGTGCACTGCGGGCTGCAAGACTCCTGCCCTTCTGTCAATAAGCTCATCAGCCAAGGGGTTTTGCCCTTGACCTCGAGAGCTGAGCTGTCGTTTGGCCAGTGTCCTGTGCAAATCTGAGCTGGGCAGGGCTGTTGAACCTTTGAAAGCTGAAAAATGATAGGGTAACCAGAAGAAAATCGAAATGTTGGAATTTCAGTGACGATGCCAGGGACTTAGTCATCCACTAAAATGTAAACTTTTCAAGCAATTAGAAAACTTGCAGTTACATGGTGGGCTAGAGGAGTGCATTGCTCCTACTTTCAAAAAGAGAAAAGGACAAATGCATTTCCTGGGCATCTCATCCAGCCTTCCAAGCGACCTGAACAGCGTCTGAATCTCTGTGAGAGCCCAGTGAATAACCTTGGTAAGGCAGCTCTGGTTTGGGTCTTGCCGGCAACACATCCATGGAAAGGCCAGTGCTGGTTCCACCTATGATGAGACGGAAAATCCTCGGGTTGAGAAGCAACTTGTGAAGTCTCCTGGCTGGGTGACTGGATTCAGGCATTGGCTTAAGATGTCCAAACTGGGGTGTGAGCACCTGATTGATGTCCTTGGAGAGAGAGAGAGGGGACGGTGACCAGTGACAGTGAGACAGCAGTAGTCCCAGCCAGCCCAACCCAGACACTGGCCCCTCACTTAAATGATTTGCCAGGCTGGCTCAGAAATGAAGCTGACAGTATATTGTTTCTTTTCTTTTTTAGTTTTATTTCTCCTTTTTCTTTCAGTTTTTTTGAGATATAATTGACATTCAGCACCATGTAAGTTTAAGGTGTACAGCGTAACAATCTGACCCACATCGTGAAATGATGAGCACGTTAAGTTGAATGAATATCCATCACCTCAAAGCTACAATGTTAAAAAAGTAGAAAAAAATGTGTTGAGAATGCTTAGTTACTCTCTTAACTTTCGCATATAACATACAGCATTGTTGTACAACCCTGTAAGAGGCTGTATGTTCTGATACACACAGAACA